GACAGGGGGAAACAGCATCTCCTGGAACCCCAGGGAGCATTTCTGACTGGGATGGAAAGGATCCCAGGAAGTGAGACCCCAGGAGGCAGGAGAGAGAGGTGTGTGCTCATATGGTCAGATGGTGGCCTTTGCAGGAAGCCAGCTGGAGAGGCGGAGATGGGATAGTGACCCTGGGGAGGGTCCCAGGGTCAAGCTGGAGCCTGGGGAGAGGGGACTGGCAATGGCCGTGAGGACCTCATCGTAGCAGCCACACTTATAGAAAGACAACCATGTGCTGGGTATTCTCACCCCTCACAGTAACCCCATGAGATAAGAACATTCATGGTGCCCATTTAACAGATAGAGAAATGGAGGCCCAGAGAGATTAAGTAACTTGCCCAAGACGATGAAGCAGGCATTTGGACCTAGTGTAAGGCAGGGACTCTGTTCTCAGCCACCTGATGGAGCCATCTCTGAGCTGGGCTCTGTCACTGGCTAGCCCCCATGCTGAGCCACAGGACGTGAATATAGGAGGCCCTGCCCTGACCCCAAGGTCACCAGAACCAGAAGAAGGACCCTTAAAACAAATTCATGTCAACTACCTCCATTGCCCTGAGACCAGAAGTGTAGGCTGGTACCCAGCAACCATTACTGAATGCTTTGATCAAGGATTCAATAGATGGATCTTGATCAAAGAGAGGAAAACTGTGGAACAGAATTTCAAATTTTTATAGAAACCAGATCTACTGGGCCCATTGTGACTGGGGAAACCCCCAATCTACTGCCTGATCTCATCTTTAAGCCTTGAACCCAAACTATGCCATGAAGGCATCTTTAGGCAACTGTTTACCTCAAGTAGGAAAGAACGTTTGCCTGGAGCAGTGCACCCTTTGGAAGAATTATCATTTGAGATCAAATTGACAGAAGTAGCTGTAAAGCCCAGAGACGTTTAGAGGGCAGAGCCTCCTGAGTTAAGGTGGTAAAAACCGTAAGGGTGGAGACAGTGAGAACAGGGATGCAGTGTGAAGCATGTGACCAACACCAGCGGTCTGGGCACGTCAGTCATGTTGAATTAGCATGTGGTTTGTCGTGTGCACACACACAGAGTTCAGTTCCAATGACATTCAGAAAAGTGAGGCTCAGTTTCAACTGGGACACCATCTTGAAATAAACCTAACGGTTGGGAAACGTTTATTTTTTGTTCTATTAGCCACCTACGAGTTATCATGGCAAATACTTGCTAAATCTGAGAACAATGAGTGGGTCATATGCTTTTCTTTCTTTCTTTTTTTTTTGCTTAATGTTTTTTTTTTTTCCCATTAAATTCGGGAGGGGAGCCAGGTTCCTCTGTCCCCCTGGTGTAGGCGGCAGCCTTTGTTACCGAAATCGCGGCCTCTGAAGCCGCTAACCTTGTTGGGTTTCTTTTCTTCAGCCCTTAACCCAGTTGTTACCCATCTGAGCGTCCACAGTCCCCATGGGCAGTCAGTCAGTGGCTTGGAGCGCCAGCCAAGCCGCTCCCCCTTGTCACTTTCATTAACTTCATGAAATGCTGTGGCCTCTGCAAGAATTTCCATTTTACTTCCCAGTTACTTGGTGCTGGGCTGTGAGATGTTTACTGAGGACGCAATCAGTGAGAGACCATCCAGCTAGGACAACGGTGATACTGAAGGGCTGGCCTGGCCTGGGCTGGGCGCTGGGTTAAGCAGAATCACCCATTAGAGTGGGGAGGGGCTTTTTTTATTTTTAAAATATTTATATTTTTATTGTTGACAATATAGGCAGCGGAACAAACAGTTTACCAGTCTGTACATGTCCCATGCCATGATGCTGGTTACACACTTCCATTTATGCAATCACCCTTACCCTCTGTTCTGGTTCCCTAGTGCCACTTTGACAGGAATATACCACCAATGGGATGGCTTGAACAAACAGGAGTTTATTCTCTTACAGTTCGGGAGGCTACGAGTCCGAGTTCAAAGTGCCAGGCTCTAGGGGCTGGGTGCAAGCCCCTCAACCTTGGGCTTCAGCTCTGCGTCTTGCTCCTGGCCCACTGAACCTGGAGGCATATCTTCACTTAGGCAGCTAAGTGAAGCTAACAGGCCCAAGGTCGACAAATAAAATGGCACAGTCCCGATGTTACCAAATCACAAGGCAGGACATTAACTCAAGTCCATTGAAAGTCCCAAGGTCAGCAGAGTATGGCAGGCTGCTGAATGACACGGCTACATGCAGGGTCCAAGCGTGCCATAGGCTAGAGACCATTTCCAAAGCTGCTACTTCTATATGGGAAGCAGACCACATTCCCTAAGGCAGCTACTTAGCTGCTCCAATAGATTCCACCATGGAGTTGATTACCTTCTCACCATGGGGAATACTACGTCCAGCTGCCCAGCCACTCAGCCAGGCCCAGCCAAGTTGGCACACAGACTGAACCACCCTCCCCTCCTTTCTAAGCTGCTCCTCCCCAGCTGGCACACCCTCACTGCCCCCTAAGGTCCTTAGCCAGCCTTTCAAGTTGCTGTTATCAGTTTGATCCCCTGTAATGGTTCTAAGAGAGTGTGGTGCTCGCAGCAGGCATTCTTCAGTATTTGAGCTAAGTTTCTGGCTAATTATTGGTTTAATGAAGACACGGGAGCTATTTTTCATCTGAGGTTTAAAGATTCTCTTCGGGCAATAATTTCAGAGGTTCTTCCAGCCTCTGTGACTCCAGGAAGTCTGGATTCTTGACAGTTTGAGATTTTCTTCTGCATTTTTTTCCCTTTTTGCTCAAGATTCTTCCAAAGAATCTCTGAGGCTTTTGAAGCAGTAGAGAGTATTCACGTTGCAGCTCTCGGCGAATCCAAACTCAGTCCCCCAGCTGCAGAATTTCAGACCCTGTAAGTTCAGTGAGCGAGTGGGGCCCTCTAGGAAGTAGATGCTGAGCTGGAAATTAGGGAGCAAGCAGCTTATGGGAGGCAAGCGTCTTGGGATGTGCTCCAGTGGAAGGGATCCGGATGGCCCCAGGAGAAGGCTCCCACACATTAGGATGCTGTCCCAGCAAAGCCCAGCCACCCGTCGGGCACCCAGGAGCTGGGCTGGCTCTTCTGAGTCATCCTCTGGGCCTGTGTGGCCCGGTCACTGCATGCCACCCTAGGGAAGACTGTATTCTTTCCAGCTGAAGGCCAGTACCCCCAGAAGTTGGAGAAATCTGACTTTCCATCTGAAGGGGGATCAGGCCATGCAGCCTAGCACCCACACAGAGACCCCATCTTCCAGGAGGACGACGTGGGCATCCAGAGAGGATGAGAGCCTTGCCCATGTTCCCGGCTAGTAGAGCAGAGGCCTGGTCATAGTTCTGGGCTGGAGTTGGGTGCAGGGTCAGAGCTGGAGGGGCAACTCCCGGGGACGTGCAGAGGCCCCTGAGAGCAGGCCTGGTCATGGCTTCCGGCTGGTGAACCAAAAGGACAAGGACACTGCCCTTCCTGGCCTTTTCTGGAAGCAGCCTGGCCCTGGGGAGATGCGTCCTGCATTTGACAGGCTTCTTGGGGCTCTGGCCATGACAAGCTCAGGTGGCCAGTCTCCTGAGCTGGGGTGTGCTCTGCCAGGAAGGCCCCGGGGGTGGGGTGACCCTGCAGGGGCCAGGCCTCTGTGCAGCGGGGATCAACTTCCTGGCTGTGTCCCTTAGATTCTCCGTGGCGTTTTCTTACTACGGGCTGGTCCTGGACCTGCAGAACTTGGGCAGCGACATCTTCCTCCTTCAAGTCCTCTTTGGAGCCGTGGACTTACTGGGCCGGTCCACCACCCCCATGTTGCTCAAGTTCTTCGGCCGCCGGGTGACCCTAGCCGGCTCCATGTCCTTGGCTGGTTTTGCAATCCTAGCCAACATGCTGATGCCACAAGGTAAGGTCAGGGCAGCACAGTGAGGGCGAGCTGAGCGGTGGCCGCCAGGGACATCAGCTTCCCTGCCCACCCCCTCCGTCGGCACACCCGTGCCCCCTTCCCCTGCTGGCCCCACTAAGTGCAGTTTTGTAGGCACATCCTCTGGGTGGCTTTTTGCTCAAGTCCTGGCAAGAACTCTCTCCATTGTCTCGGGAATCCCCTCCCCAAGCAGTCCCCTCCCCCACCCATTTCCCAGGTGAGGAAATGGAAGCAAGGAGAGGTGACACAAGGTGTTGGTATATGACAGAGCCAGGGCTGGCAGGGCTAAGAGCAGAGCAGGAAGCGTGCAGGGGGAGGAAGGACTTGGGAGGTCAAGGGGCAGCTGAGGGGCCACACAGGGACCAAGGGAGGGGGGGA